TAACTGTTTTCCACTAGGATCCTCTAATGAGTCACCTTAGTTCTACTCACTTGCTTCATGAACTCGGACATCATAAACTACCACCACCTTCTTGCAAATCGAGTCTATCTTCTTATAATCATTCATCTTCTCATCATATCCAATTAAGACATACTTCTTGCTCCTATCTTCAATCTTTGTCCTTTATTGAGTAGGTACATGTCCGTAAGCAACACTGTCGAACACTTTGAGATGACACTCAATTTTTTTTTTTACTACTCCATGCATCTTGTGGTCTTAGATCATCCAACTTTGCATGTGGACACCTATTTCTCACATAGATGACACATTGCACAAATTCTACTTAAAACAACTTTGACATGTTCTTGCTTTCAACATTGACCGAACCATGTCAAGAATAATTCGATTCTTCCTATTGGCTACACCATTTTGTTGTGGTAGGAACGAGGGTACAAAAAATCTCCTTATACCTTCATCTTTACAATATTTCATCAATATTATCGATGTAACCTCTCCACCACTATCAAATAGGATTGATCTAATATGTTTCCCAATTGTCTTCTCAACCATAACCTTAAACTTCTTGAACACCTCAGATTTATTTCTTAGAAAATAAACCCATGTTTTTCTTGAGAAATCATTAACAAAAGTTAGAAAATACCTCTTCCCACTTAATGATTCAGGGGTAATTGGTCCACAAAGATCGGTATAAATCAGTTAGAGTTGCTCCTTTTCTTGGTACTTGTTTTATTTTTGAAATGGGGTCCTTATCTGTTTACCATCACACATTCTTCACAAAATGTCCTCTCACACTCCATGCTCGACAACCCATGCACCATGCTCTTCTTTGATAACTCAGCTAGACCACTAAAATGTAGGTAACCAAACTGATGATGCCATGTCAAGATTGTGCCCTCTACATTTAGTTTTAGACACCTCTCATCGAATGCTTCTTAGCTACAATTTTTACATTCTATTCTTGTCCATTTCAACTCAGGTGATCACACTTTCAACTTTATCCTTCAATTTCAAGTGCAATACTTGATCTTTCATGAATACCAAGTGATCTCTCTCTCTATCAGTTGTGTCATGCTTAAGATGTTACTTTTAAGATCAAGAACGTAATACACATTATGAATCGATCCGATTAGGCCATCCTTCTGCAAGTAGTGGATCGTGCATCAGATGTTTACCAAGACCTTCGAAGCATCACCAAAAGCCACATAGTCAACCTATACTTTCTTTAACTCTTTAAACAAGTGTTTATCCCCACACATATGATTACTTGTACCTGTATCTAGGTACCATACCGAGTCATAATCGGTACCTTCACATCCTTCCGACCTGTGATTGGCTCCACTATCGCTTTTTGACATATGATCACCCATCAACACTATCGTTTCTACCTCCTCCACAAGACTTGTCTCTTCCACCTTTTTTTTTATCTTGACATTCTTTAGCAAAATGTCTCACCTTTCCACAACTATAACATTTGTATAAGTTACAATCCCTAGTGTAGTGACCATATTTGCCACACTTATAGCATTCAACATTATAGGTTAGTGACCAACCTCCTCTATGATCACGTCCTCTACCACACCAATTTGGCTAGCTTGAGTCTTTCTCCTCATTGTTTTGCCCACGACCTCTACCACCTCGGCCTCGACCTCCATGTTCTTGTCCTCTACCATGAGTGTTATGAGAGCATATAGTTTTCTATTCTTTAAGAGATGTTTCACTTTAGAGTGCTTGTATGGTTGTCTCCTCCTCCTTCTTCTTCTTATTCTTCTGATGCTCATGGGCCTCAAGAGACTCAACCAATTCTTCTATCTTGAGATTGAATAGGTCCTTTGGTTCCTCTATTGCACACAAAACGTTCTTGAAGTTGCCGGTTAACGACCTCAAGATCTTCTCCACAATTTTGCCACTAGTGAGTGTCTCTCAATTTCGATTAAGTTGGCTCACCACGGTCTTCACACACGTGATGTACTTAGAAATTATTTCTGACTCCTTCATTTTAATGCTCTCAAGTTTGCCACGAAGTTTTGGTAACCAAACTTATTTCACTCGATCATCACCCTAGTATGCTTTCTCCAAAATCTACCACACTTTTTTTTAAAGTTTTTGACTCTTGTTATCTTCTCAAAGCAAGATTCATCACTAGTTTGGTACAACATATACAAGGTTGTTTTATCCTACACATATATCTCTTTCAACACTTTATTTTGGGTTACTAAAATGCCCACGTTTCTCACTCTTTCTTCGAACCCCTCATCGACCACCTCCCAATTATCTTGGGATCTAAGAAGAGTCTTCATCTAGAGACTCTAATTGTCATAGTTAATTGTCTTTGTCAATCGGGACAAGGGTGATAATTATTGATTGTTTTTGTGCAATTTACTTGATCTTAACTTTGTCTTCGATCTTAGTGATTGGATTTGAAAGTTTTTCTACAATTGAATTTAGTAAAAATAAGTTCCCTAGTTAAATTTGCAATCCGATTTTAGGTTAATCTCTAAAGTGTTTTCTATGCGGTTTAATACTTTACTTTTCCTTTGAATTCTACCAAGATTTAATATTCAATGTCTTTTGATTATGTTTGCATCATTTCTAATTCGATTTAGGTGTTTTAGGTTATTATCATTTTTATAAACAATTTGTATGCATTAGGTTAGCTTAAGTTTGTTAGTTTAGTCTACTTCTTTTGGTAATTTGGATTGCATGCTAAATTTTTTTGATTTTAATGTTCTTAAATCTTTACAAGCCATTTCAATTTTGCCTCTTATTTGTTTCAATTCAAATTACATGTTTAGTAGCCAAATATTTTTGAACAAATTCATAGAATCATAGTTCTTAAACATAGTTTTTGTATGCTTTGAATTTTTTAGCAAATTTGATTTGGTTTATTGCTTTTAGTTTGTTGTTTTATGCCTTGTTAAATTTTTCCCATTTTATAGAAGTTTAGCTTAGTTTAGCTTAATCATCCATTCGACCAATTTTAGAAATTTTCATGTTTAGTTCTTCATTTAGGTCATTTAGCTTGATTTATATGTTCTTGTAATTCTAGCTTTTTCACCCAAATAGTTTTAGTATTTTAAATCATATTGTAACTTGTACCAACTTCGTCTTAGTTCAATTTGTTCAATTGTTAGTGTTTTAGTATAATTGGTCATTCCTTTTATATAGCTTATTAGAATTTCCATTTCTACTTTACATTTCTTTTGTTTTTGCAGCATAAAAATCCCCACCAAAAGTTATTTCATTCTCATTCAAAGAATATTCATTTGAAGACAAACTGTTCTTTCATTCCTTGGATTGACACTTGGTTTGTTTATACTACATTTAATTAGAGAAACTAAAAAAGTTTGAAAAATCCTACCCAACTAAAGGGTTCATCAAATTGGCTTCGTTGTCGGGAATTGGAAACAATTTGTGTTTTAAATACCATCTTATTTGAATTGTAAAAATGTATAAAGTGTGCAAAGCTTTTCGTTTCCTTTGAAAAAAAAAATTAGTGTTAGTCATAATTTTCTGTATAAACTAGTGGTGTTGTGTGCCTCGGTCAAAAGTTGGGAGTTTTCTAAACTTTGATCTAGAAATTGAACGAACCTTGAAAACAAGAACTAAGAAGAACAAGACTAAAATTCAACACTCTCAAAACATGACTTTGAACTAAGAAATAACACTGAAGGAGCTAGCCAATTCTGACTTTGGCTACCAACCTCTTTTGTATCCAACCACCAGCTATACCTAAGGGAGCAACAAGTTATGAGTTAAAGCCTAGTCTAATTCAATTACTACTGAAGTTCCATGAACTTGTAGAAGAAGATCCACACAAACACCTTATGGAATTCCATATTATGTGTTCAATTATGAGACCTGTAGATGTCCCAGAAGAGCTCGTGAAAATGATAACATTTCCCTTTTCAGTTATGGACATAACACTAGTGGAAAAATAACATTCTATGACGAGTTTTTATCACGGTCGTAGTCCACCCGTCATAGTATGTAGCGCGGTGGCAATTTTGTAATTAAATCATAAACTTTCTATGTCGGGTAAATTTTAGCCGACATAGTAAGTGGAAAGTTCACTTTCTATGTCGGTTGAAATTTACCCGACATAGAAAGTGTATATTAAATAAAAAAAATTAAATATATAAGTATATAAATATTTATATATCAAAATATATAAATATATTTGTATTTATATATTTTGTATATAAATATAATTTATTTTTAAGTTATGTATCGGAAATTCGTAGTAGTTTAGTGGTTGGAGTATCGGTCTCCAACTCTAAGGTACTTGGGTTCGAATCTTGTTAGACACAAATCTCTTAAACAGATAATAAATCCTACCAGTGACAATTTTTGTAAAAAGTCTATTACTTTCTATGTCAGTTCATTACAACCGACATAAAAAGTCATACTTTCTGTGACGGTTCCTCACAACCGACGTAAAAAGTCATACTTTCTATGACCCCTGTATCTATGTCGCCTCTTTAACCGACGTAAAAAGCTCATTTTAACCGACATAAAAAGCCTTTTTTGCACTATAACAAAAGACTGGTTGTACCTACAACCCATGACAATCACCACTTGGGCAAACATGAAGAGAAAGTTCCTAGAAAAATTCTTTCCAGCTTCTAGAACCACGAGTGTTAAAAAGGAAATTGATGGGATTAGATAGTTAAATGGGGAAACCTTGTAAAAATATTGGGAATGTTTCAATAGGTTGTGAGTTACATGTTCCAATCACCAAATAAGTGAACAGTTACTAATACAGTACTTTTGCGAGGGCTTTATGCCAATGGAGTGCAACATGATCGATGTCACAAGTGGAGGAGCGCTCATGGACAAGACACCAATCGCTACAAGACATTTAATTTCAACCATGGCGGAAAATTCGCAACAGTTTAATATAAGGAGCAACAACAAAGCAGCGCACAAGATGCAATTAGATACAAATACTGTTGAATGTTTAAAAGTCCAGATGTTAGAGCTCACTTCAATGGTGTCGAACTTAGCTTTAACCCAACATCTGAACGCCATACAAAGAGCATGCGGGATTTGCAGTGCAAAAGACCACCATATTGACACGTGTCCACATTTACAAGAAACTCCTCAATCTCCACCTCATTAAATAGTAGTCGCTTGTTCCAACCAATACTCCTCGTCCAAACCTAGTCAAACTTACAACCCTGGCTGGAGAGACCACTCGAACCTAAGATATGGCCTAATCAACCCTAACCAACCTAAAAACTCTTACCCTTCAAAACAAAATGGATAATCTTATCAACCCAACCCTCAAACATATCCACCATACCCAAACTATCCTCCTTAACAAAATTACCAAAACCATTCACCTCAGCCATATTATCAACCCCCAAACCAAAACTATTACCAACGACCATACCAACCACCACCACAATATTACAAACCATCACCCCAAAAATTTCTACCAACCATCACCACCTCAACAACAAACTTTCCAACATAACCAAGCCACCCAACCCAATCAACCTAGCCAACCAAATTCATGAACTTCCCCATTAAACCAACAAAAATTATTTCACCATCACTTAAACAAAACAACCATCCTTCCCAATTACCCTTTGAACCTTCCACAAACTCAAAAAACATTCCATCCCAAACACTAATAAATCCCAAACAAAGCGTCAATGGATCACCCTTAGGAGTGGGAGAACATTACCCAAACCAAAGACCCCTTAGAAAAACGAAGAATCAACCAAACCAACCTAACCAACCAAACCCACAACCCAATCTTCCAAACCAACACCTACCCCTGACCCAACTCCACAAATAAACCAACCTATTCCACATCCACATATACATTTTCCACATAAGGTTGTTACCACCAAACCCAAAGAAAACAATGAGGAGCTGCTCAACATGTTTAAGAAGGTCGAACTTAACATACCACTCTTGGATGCGATTAGGAAAATATCCAAATACGCAAAGTTCCTCAAAGATTTGTGCACTTACAAAAGATGTTTGACGAAGAAGAGCATACAGTTTGTCTCCACTTTGTCCAAATCTGCCTTGCCATACAAAATATACTAATCCATGAACATTCTCTATCCCATGTACCATCGGAGAGGTTACCATCGCCAACACTCTACTCGATCTAGGAGCATCTATCAACGTTATGTCTACCTCACTATTTAAATTATTGAACATAGGAGAGTTGTAATATAAATGTAATCATTCAGATGGCTAACAAGAGTATTACTCAGCCCATAAGAGTCCATAAAGATGTGTTGGTGAAGGTTAACCAGTTAATATTTCCTACAGACTTCTACATCTTGGATATCGCGAATGAGAACATGAACCATTCCACTCTTATCCTCCGAAGACCGTTCCTCATGACTGCACGAACAAAGATAGATGTACATACAAGAATGATGTCCATGGAATTTGGAGATGACTGACCAACATATTCGAATCCAGCAAGTAACCTTCCGAAGATCACTCTAAGCTGCAACACGACTCTGTTTTATGGATAGATGTAAAAAGCATTTCTTACACAAACATAGATTTAGGAATAGAGTTAGATATGGACTATATGAACTTTACGGACATTACAAACTTTCAAGTGTGGAAAAATACCCAAAATATTGTGGATATTGGTATTAACTATCTTGCAAGTTTTGAAGAAAAGCAACCCAAATCAAATTTAAAACCTCTACCTGATCACTTGAAATACGTCTACTTGGATGTAGAGGAAAGGTATCCGGTTATCGTAGCCACGTGCCTAATTAAGGAAGAGGAAGGAAAGCTGATAGGAGTCCTACATAGAAACAAGAAAGCAATTGAATGATCCCTCTCTGATATCACTAGGATCAGCTCGACTGGTGTAAAATAAAGTAAAGTGCAGAATTTTAAGAAGATAAGGTGTATAATTTTAAGCAATAAAGTAAGCAAACCCAAGGAAAATTCCCACTGGACATTAAGATAGTTGTCTATCAAGATGTGAAGGTTCATTTTCAAGGATTGTGGAGGGAGGAGGAGATGGAATGAAACTAGAAAAGAATAAAGACAAGGGTTGGAAAAATTATCAGCCCCTTGGATAAATAAATGGAGTGAAGAAATAAAGATGAAGAGAAGAGAAGTATGGTGGTGGTTGAGTGTTGGCACACAACTAGGGGATCAGCCACCCCAGATAAGTGGTGGTTGCCACCACTTGAACCAAGGTTCAAGATAAGACACTCAAAGAGATGGAACACTCTAAGAAACCTCACAAACTTGTCATAAATGTTCAACCTAATTACATGAGGGGAAGCTTTCTATTTATAGGCTTTTGGGGGAGGGACCTAGATGGAATTATAAAAAAGAGACATAAACTTAATCTAAACCTAAAGGCTAGAGTCCCCATGGTTCAAATATGTTAAATTCGTCCTATCCCACCAAAAATACCTCTAAAGGTGTGGAAAACATAAAAAAAAGAGGTGTGCTTCCTTTTTTGTTGTCCCAAGCCTACCAAACCCGCATCTCGAGCTTCTTCCTCTCCAAAAAGGGGTGTAGGACATGAAAAAGGAGTGTCCTACACCTTTGGGCTGCCCATGCATGTATCCTATGGATCCAAGGCTTCTTTTCCACCAAAAAGAGGTGGTATTCTTCAAAAAGAAGGTTCAAAAAGTGAGCTTACAAAAGGAAAACGAAAATAAGTGAAAAACTTAGGAAAAGAAAATACTAAGTAAAAATACTAAGTAAATTCAAAGTGAAAGTTGAAGAGGAGGCCTCTCTTCTAGTCATGCTTCTAGTAATCCTCCTAGGGATGACTTCTCCTGCCTCTAGGGCAACTAGGGACTCATCATCCTCTCCTCCTTGGAGAGAATTCATCCACAAATTTGCAAAATTTGCATCAAAAGGAGTAAGATCACCAACATTAAAAAATTTAGTAATGTTATATTCGGTTGGTAGATCTAACTCATATGCATTGTTGTTTATTTTCCTAACTATTTGGAAAGGTCCATCACCTCGAGGGTTGAGTTTGGACTTCCTTTGAGTCAGGAACCGCTCCTTTCTCAAGTGAAGCTATACCCAATCTCTAGGTTGGAAGATGACTTCCTTCCTTCCCTTATTGACATGCTTGTTATACTGACTTACTTTCTTCTCTATGTTGGCTCTTACTCAGGCATGTAGGTCCTTAATGATCTTAGATTTTTCTAGACTATCTTGGTCAGAATTCATAATCTTTGAAATAGATAATTTGTATTCTTAAAAGTGCAAAAATCTTTCAAAGATCAATTCACCCCCCCTCTTCATCTCATCCTACATTTCTAACAATTGGTATCAGAGCATGGTCTTGAAAATCACTCAAGACTTTCGGTCCAAATCTTTTCATGGCTGAAAACAAATTACCTTTTTCTGAGGGTGCTTCTATTAACCGACTTCCAATGTTTTGTGGTACAAATTATCCATTTTGGAAGACAAGGATGAAGATCTTTATTGAATTTAATGATAGAAATGTTTGGGATGTAATTTTAAATGGTCCAGTAATTACAGAAAAAGAATGGTCTAGTTTAAATGATGAAGAAAAGAGAAAAGTTTAAAGTGATTGCACTGCCAAGAACATAATTACATCTGCACTTAATATGGATGAATTTTTCAGGGTGTCTCAATGCAAATCTGCTAAAGAAATATGGGAAATTCTTGAGGTGACCTATGAAGAAACAACAAATACATGTTTGATGGCTAATCTGGATTCTCCAACCACCAGTGTAAGTTCTGATTCTTCTATTAATTCTATGAATTATAGCTCATTACAGGATGCTATTAATGAAATGCATGAAGTAGCAAAACGACTTGAAATAGAAAACAAAAGATTAAAAAGCTTGAACAACAGGTTAGAAAACAAAATCAATCTTCTTGAAAAGAAAATTCTTGATGAAGAAACTGATGTTGAATACTTAAAAATGATTGTCGCCGCCGTCACAAGAGGCGGTTGGAGCAACGCGATGGTTTCCGACTTCAACTCGCATTTTTAAAGTTTTGTACAACGCCTTTAGGTTGTCCGATAACCGGGCTGGACCTAAAGATGAGGTTTTCAAAAAGGGTTCTAGAGTCGCCACCAATGTTTTATCCGGAAACATTGGAAAAGGAAAAAAAGAAGGCGTTGGTTTTGAAAAACCAACTTTGGCCATTATAACCAGAGTTGGGTAAGGGAGTTAGTTACGTGTAGGGAAGGTATTAGCTTCCCTACGACGCCCCTTTCGGGTTCCCTATGATGGACTGTTTATTTCATAAATAAACTCTAAAATTATGCTTTTAACCTTTATTTATTTGTGGAATTTAAAATATTGACTACATGGCCCTAACAGCTAATGCGTGAATAGATGTAAAGAAAAAGCGGTAAAAGAAAGAGAGAAAGTATGGGAACCTTCAAAGCAAGCTTTCGTTACTCAATATTTTTTGTAAAGGATGCTTTTTGGCAATCCCTCGCTCTACAGTGTTGGTCGCTCTTCCTCACAACACTATAGAATACTCTCCAAGAATACTAAGAAACTACGGAAATGCTTCAGAGGGATCCTAGGAGAAAATTTTAAGAAAGTTGTAGAAGGAAAAGTTGAAGAATGTCGTGAAAAGGAGGGGGGAGCGCCCTCCTTTATATGGATTCACGCCTGTCAGGTAAGGACCGTCGTCTCGCCTAACAAGGTCGAGACCACTGTCTCGCAAAATGTGATGGCGGTCTTGCCCTTGAAAAATGGTGAGAAGGCCGTCTCACCAAATGAGACGGCGGTCTCGTCATTGGTGAGTGACGAGAAGGCCGTCTCACCAAACGAGATGGCGGTCTCACCATTGGCAAGTGGCGAGACGATCGTCTCGCCAAACGAGACAGCGGTCTCACCCTTTGTCGATGGGGAGACAACGGTCTCACCAAGCGAGATGGTGGTCTCAGCCTTCTAGGTGGAATTCCTTATTTTTTTCTGTACAAAAAACCTTCCTACTCTAATATGGGGCCTATTAGTCTATCCTAGGGACCTTTTAGGCTTTGCCCATCTTCGAATTGAAGGTCTTTTGCTCTTTATTTTGGGGCTGGGCAATATTTGGGGTCTATAGCTGCCGCCCCCCTTCACCTGACTAGCCGACTATTGGCCTATTATGCCAAAAAGATCGGCTAAAGGGTGAAGGAGTTAACCCTCTTGCCCGACTGTCCTTC